ACGGGGAGAGTACTTGTCTGAAGGAGAGCTTAACGAGAGAGTGAGCGGTTTATGGTCAGTGAAAAGAGTGAATTCATGGCCTTCGATGTAGTGTTGAAAATGTCGTACAGCACAATACAGAGCTAGCACCCGTCTAGAGAAAAATGCTAATGGTTGCCAGGAGTTGTTAACCCATTGTTGTAAGACTTCTCCGATTGCTGGGTCGGATGTGTCTGCTGCTATGCCAATGAGTGCTTGAGTGTCCTGATGTGTGGGCATTGTTGCTTTCGCAATAATTTCCTTAATTGTGGAGAATGCTTTTCGCACGCTGTCGTCCAGATTGATGGATTTCGCATTTCCACGAAGTTGGTCGGTAGGAGGTTTCATGAGTAACGCGCATTTCGATATGAATCGTCTGTAGAAACTTACAAGGCCGTTAAATGTGTGTAATGCTTGATGGTAATCGGTTCCGGGTAATCCAGAATTGCCACCACTTTGGTTCTAAGGGGTCGAGTGCCTTGAGCATCGATAGTGTGTCCTAGAAAGTCTAAAGAGTCAGTTCCGATTTGGCGTTTCTGAATGTTTACAGCAATACCGTGTTTTTGTAGTCTTTCGAAAACAAGATACAGATGCTTGAGATGTGATTCTCTGTCCGGACTTGCGATTAGGCAGTCATCAACATACGCTTGTACGAAGTTGAGACCTCGAAAAAAGTCGTCTATGAATCTTTGGAATGTTTGAGCAGCGCTTCTCAGACCGAAAGGCATTCTCGAAAATTCATAGAGTCGGAAGGGAGTAATGATAGCTGTTTTCGGAATGTCGTCTGTAGCCACAGGCATTTGGTTATACGCTTTAACCAAGTCGATTTTCGAAAAGGCAGTTGTACCTTTCAAGGTAGCTGTGAAATCGTGAATGTGAGGCAACGAGTAACGATGGGGAATGGTTTCCGCATTCAATCGCCGATAGTCACCAGTTGGACGCCAATCGTTGCTGTCCTTTCTAGGGACCATGTGCAACGGAGATGCATATGGGCTATTTGACGGTCGTATGGTTCCTAAGTCTATCATGTGGTCGAACTCGTTTTTCGCTAACCTTAGCTTTTCGGGGGCTATTCGTCGTGCTTTAAAGAATACAGATGGTCCTGTAGTCGTGATGTGATGTGTAACGTTGCTGGTTACACACGGTAGTTTCGAATGCGTTTGTTGTATCCCAGGATACTTATCGAGTAGTGGTTGATAAAGTGGGTCTATCGTATGCTTAATTGTGACCGGGGATAATCTGCAACCAGAAAAAGAAGTTACGCAAACGGATAAATTAGTGTTTCCGTCTACCAGCCTCTGTTTGCGCGTATCGATGATTAGATTATGGTGTTGTAGAAGTTCTATATCAATGATTGGCATAGGAACCTCTGCAACAATGAAAATCCAGTGTATGAGTTTACGTAAACCCACGTTAACGTAAACGTAAGTCTTACCGTATATTGCGATATGTTTTGCGCTTGCCGCCTGTAGATTTAAAACCGATTCGTGAGGCCGGTAGTTAGGATTTGCAGGGAGAACGCTAACTTCTGCGCCACTGTCGACGAGGTAGCGAACTCTCGTTGTCACATCTGTGACGTATAACAGACGGCTATGTTCGCCGGCTACGGTTGCTGTAACGCAAGCCCTCTTGGAAGTTTCCCGAATTGTTTTTCATGTTGGTCGATTTTTAGTTGGGAAAACTGCAGGATTTTATGAAATTTCTGGAGGACTTTCCATACTGGTTATGATACCAGCACCAGTCGGGGTTATCCGTCTCTCGTGGTCTAGAGACAGATCGTTTACGTGGGGTGTGTGATCGCTTACGGTCGTTACGAAAATTAAGATAACGTGTAAGGGTATGACATAACTCTGTTATGTCATTCTGGGTCGTTTGAGGCTTTTCTTTGACTGAAAAACCTCTATCATTGAAGATTTCGGAATTTCTAAGATACGATCGGCAAATGCATCCAGTTCGTCTAAGGCGTTGTTCTGAAGCGAAACCAGAACTGATTGCACCTGTTGGGGAAGTTTAGACAAGAAAATATGTTTGAATAGGCCTTCGTCGAAAGTTCTTAGGCCGATCACTTCTCTCATTCTTTGCAAAATGTCCGTCGCGGAAGCGTGTTGCAGGTCTATGTTAATAAAGAGTTGATCTACCCTTTGTCGATCGGTTAGGTCTCCTCGTTTAAGAATCGAACGTTTTAATGTTTCGTAAGGTTCAGAAACATCACTAATAAACATACTAGGTGTTACATACCTGTTGAATTCGCGCGGTAGTGCCCTGACTACTGCGAGGAGTTGTGCGCGTGTGTCGTTTACGCCGTGCTCGTGGGAGTCGGCTTCTGCGTAACAGAACCAGGTTTCGATTTTGTCGGGTCAGAAGGGCATGAGTTGGAACGAGGGTGGGGACATAGTCTTAATCTTAAATACCTTGGGGGTCTGTTCAGTCATAGGGGAAAATTAAGTACGAGAATACGAGGGGAAAATAGATAGATATCCTGAGACACGGGGAAAAAATATCACAATGTATAAAAAAATAAATAATAAGGTAATAATATATAAAAATCCCATAAAGGAACAGACTCACAGTTGCAATTAGGTGTGCCAGATCACGTCGATCTCACCAATGAATATGGCGCAGGCACTCAGTGTTTGACAACGCTTTTACCAGAAACACCTTCTAATATAATTCGTACCCACCAAGAGAAACCAAAAGACAGAGTCGAGGAGATCGGAAGAGTGTATTTGGCGATAACCAATATATCGGAATTCTCTGATCTAATCTGGCTAGCGATTGCGGTAGATGTTGAGCACAGTGTTACCACAAGTGATCTGGTGAGGATGCATGACCTAGCGCCTTCAGCTAGATGAGTCCACTAAAACATATGGTCAGCATCCAATGTTGAAAACTTACAGAGCTATTTATTTTGGGGATTTATTTACCGCTACAAACTAATCAACAGTCAAGCAGCTGAATCTCAACTTTAGCATTGACAGAAACAATTGATACAAGTTACCGAAGCAAAACGAACTACATGGTACGAACTATGTTGATCGGTATGTACGATCAAATGGTCTTTTGCTAAACAAAGTACTGAATCAGAGTTTTCTTCAGTAACGTGAGCTTTTTATTATTAAAATATCAAGAGAAAGATGAAAAGAACATATATTCTTAATTTTTTGGACTTCGCACGTAGTCCTAAGATCCAGATGTGTCCAATTGGAAGCGCCAACATTTTCCAAGTATCTTTACAAGTAAACGAATGCCAATTATTTCAAAACACCATTCGACTAATCGTCTACGTTTCATAAATAGCCTCTGTGAAGTTAGTGGAATGATATTAAACTCTAGCTAAATTAATTTGGACTGTTTGTCCCGCACTGATACTGCTAGTAACCTTGAACGTTTGACTGTGTTTAGGATAATTGGTTGGTAAGGTATGACTTATAAGTGGTCTACCAAATATTTTTGTTGAGGAACGTGAAGTAACGCGAAAAGAAGTACTACAAAACTTTTCGTTAAACGTAGTCTTACAGATTTTTTCTATCTGGCAGTGGTATATTGTGACGACTGAGTGGCATAGGGTTGAGTAAGGGTTATCTGAATAGTTATTCGTTCCGCTCCTATTCCTCGTGAACTTGTTGGATGCAGTGATGGTTGGGTGGTAACAATATTCATGTCAGCAGTATTCTCTATTCAAATATGGAAAATGGTGCATGATTCTGATAAAAAGCTTATAATGTTGAGCGGGTTTTAACCCTATCAAACTAGCCATTTAACGTTCAACTGACCAAAGCCACCCATCAAGGTCAAGAGTGGCTCATTATCGTTCACAGATCAACTGGTGGCATAGCTTGTCCAGCATACCAGCTTGGTCTTAACATTTGTACATAGTTCCTTACTTGTTCTGTTCATGTAAACATGTGGTGGTCGGTGTTCGATATAACCATTAAACTTCGTATAAAGTTCGTCTTGATAACCGTTCTATATAACGTCCAAAGGTATATTAATCAGAAGGCAAATACGAAGTGTTGATTACGTTTATTGTGAGACCACACACATATATCCAAATGTACAGATGCGTTAAACAAACATAGAAGAGTTGTGCCGAAAGGCAAGCAAGCGAGCGAGAGCAAGAGCAAGAGCGAGACGAGAGCGTGCGAGTGAGTGAGTGAGTGACTATGAATAACATGGACATATATATAGCATGTGAAATGAATGAGTAATCGAATCAAATAAGCAGTTAGTAGTAAGACTAGCAAAGTGAATAAATGCGTAGGCCGTAAGCAATATTCAAGCATACGTATTTCATACAAGCACAAAATAATAAGGGTACAATAAGTTGTTATAGTGCGGATGACTTTGTCCGCTAAATGAGTTAGCAAAAGGGCTTAACTAAGTTAAATGAGAATAAACCCAATTGCACGTGAGTCGCTATAAACATACATTTTTGCAAAAAGTTTTAATTTCGGAATATTCCAAAGGACCAGGAAAGCCTGATAACCAGACTGGGAAGAGTCAAGGTGGAAAAGCACTAGACAGTTTGACCTCAGCGTAAGTCTATGTAAGTTGTGAATGATATACTGGCATCCAATACTGGAGACTTGAAATGGAGTTTACAAAACTCTCTGATGATCGTGGAGACCAAGAAGGAACGAATAGTCTCAGGATATGGGTACTTTAGAGAAGCTGAAAACTTTATTTGCTTGCGCCAAATAGCACTTTTCCATCAGTGAACTTTGTACAAGAATGTCGGGAAATTAACAGCAAAAAATTTCCTTATTTCCTTTTGATATTCTTCCACTGTTCAAAACTATTCACGATACACTCTTGCACCATACAGTTCAATTTGAAACTGCAAGATCCGTCCAAAATAAACGTATGGATGTCAAAGAAAAGGGTCCCAGCATGAACAAACAAACTTAATAGTTTCAATTCTGCAAATACATTAACACTGTTAGCCAGACGACAACACATTTTCCCTTTTATTATGACGGTCTATGGCTGATCTTGATGATGATTTGGACACAGAAGAATCGGAAAACAGTGGTACACAAGCATTTTACACCGTAAAGATTTCAAAGCCAATGAAGATGATGATGACCGATATTAATGACGCACTTGGTCATATTCAGAAATAACATCAAGTTAAACTGCTGCACGAGCTGGTTGAATCAAGAGAGGCGATGCACAGTTGGTCGAACGATCGGCACAAGAAAATGTCAGATCCTTTCAAAGCCACCGCCACTTCGTTTCAACGACCTTGAACGGCCTGTCAGAAGGCGGTCATTCCGTATTTCAATTGCTGTGTTAGTTGAGTGTCCGTTGGGTTGCAGGAATATCAGGTGTTTTCATATTTAAGCGGTCTTTTGCTGCAGCAAAACCACAAAATCATTGCGAAGAACATTGATTTAGCTTTCACTGTCTTGTGGTGCACACGATGGGTCGATTGTTGCTTCGTAACTTCCCAATGTCGCTATTTTGGGGAAGATTTTGTCCAGATTGGGTAAATGTTAGAGATAACTTTTCTTTCTTAGACACCTTACATAACAATATGACACTTCATTCAAAAGCAATGATAATTATGATTGATAGAACTGTTTATGGCTGTATATTAGCAACTTGTATAACATTCAAAAATTGTTTAACACATAATTGCTTCAACCTACATTTTATAAGCAACTACCAATGTCCATGTTCATCACCATCATAATTAGAGAGGTAAACCAAATGTAAAAGGTTTTAGAGCTCACTTTTGCTTAAAACTGTGATTGTGGTCTTAAAAGTAGGTATATATATATATATATACATATATATATATATATATATATATATATTATTTTATTTTATTTTACCTCACAAACTCTAAAGTGATTTGAATACTGACATGATCCAGAAAGTATCCAACATTTAGCAATTTGTAGTAAAAACCGCCAAAACAGACAGTCGAATATAATGCAACATTTAAATCCTTTTTGTTTCTTTTTATATGTTTTTGTGGAGTTGTTTAAATTACTTCCATTCGTTAAATCTCATGTTAAGATCAGTAACACAATCCAAGCAATATCCTTTCTCTTGTTTGTTTGTGATCGTTAACCCAGAACACATGGAATTAAGATCCCAAAGTGAATGAAGACTATGTACTAAAGTTATAAATCGAAGTTAGCTTATCAACGTAATACATAAACGTCGTATACCAAAAGAAGTGACTCTTGAATATGTTATGTGAATCCGAAATTCTGTGTGATAAATTAGAATGAGTGATTACTGGCTTTGGATTATTCTACATGTTTCTGATAAATTTCAGTTGTGTTTAACAGCAAAATCCACAACGTATGTTTGGTCTTGTGAGCTGAACTTTGTTGAAGCTGTTCTCATCTTCACTCTATTCAAAATATTCATCGTCACCTGAGCCAAAACACTTGCTACACTTGTTTCTGTATTTTGAACATTTAACCTATCAATGCGCATTGGTATTCAAATGACTGACAGTGTAAATTTAGATGTTTAAAAAATCGACATTTTTTAAAAGGAAAAAACGTCGGTGAATTAAGTTAAGTAGCCAAATTGCTGATAATTTCACAAATAAATAATTGGTATAAAATCTTATCTTTAATTCTTCTTCTTGAGCATAAGATCCATATGGTTATCAAACTTACAGTTTCTAATTCACCATTGCACATATCTTGATGAAATGATGCTACGTCCTTAATCTGTCTACCTGATAATATACAGGAGAGAACTTGTGTCGATCTAGGACAAGTACTTGACACGATAGGCTTACTATTGTAACTTGATGCTAGAAATGCACGAGTCCAAATTGAGGTTAGCATCCTTGGGCTGTTGGTTGACGGGTCAGAGAGCGAGTGAGAAGACGAGTCAATTAGAACAGTACTCGATTTATTCTCGATTCCCAGTTCAGATTAATGTAAAAAGACGTTAATAAATAGATGATTAACATGATCACAACGTACAAACAATTAGAAAAATACATCTATATTCAAATCGGGTATTAGGGTAGAAAAATAAAGTACAAAAGGTTCCGTTTAAATTATAATAACTTTGAAACAGAAAAGGATATCGCAGCAAAACATATGTCAAACGAAAGCTTATTTTTTTGTAAAATAAATTAGGGACAAAACTAAATGTTAGTGTTTCATGAACTTTGGATGGAGTGAAATGACGTCCCTAAAACTAACTTCCGTTGTTTTTCATAGCTTCTTTGTTTCTCTGTTCACATCGAATGATAGTAATCAAATAGTTTCCCGTGAAAACAATTAGTTCATTGACAACAATACCAAATATTTAATTTTGCACGTGAAATACTTGCTGAGGCAATCTTTCCTATAAGATTTCTTTTGAAGCAACAAACATTTACCATCAAGGAGTATGTCATTCAAATTTGTAGTCGTTTACAAAATATTTCATAAGGATAGTCATCATTTTTCAGAAACAGTTCCCAGTCAGTCAGTCAGCTACAACGTAGGACCAGGCACATTTATGCATCGGTCCAAGTTGCCATACCTCATTAACACAACAAGATGGACACCGGATTCATAAAAGTACCTAATTCAGAGGTGGTAATATATAAAAGAAAGATTGCAATAAGGATATAGTACAGCAAAAAAGAATTAGTTCGTAGAAAGAAAGATATGAAACAATTTTAATCTCTTAGTTTAAGGGAAGATAGAGAGTGTATACACCGACGCCATTGTGATCGATTTTGAGCCATGTCATCAAGAGTCTCCAACCATTGGTTACGACAGTCACGTGGACCCCAACCAAGTAGTCTGCATCTACCAACATGGCTCAGACTAGAAGTTAGTGTTTTCAAGCACTGTTGCCACGTTTTGGTTTGGCCGCCCCTAACTTTCTTCCAACCATTGAATTAAATTATCGTACTCAACTAAGCTGTATAAACATTTTCCAGATTTTTATGTTCAAAACTATTCACAAAAGAAATCGAATTACTAATGAATTTCAGCAGGATTCTCCTCCACACGCAAAAAGAAATCAAGGTAGTTATATGGGTAAATGTAATAAAAGTATAAGAAGGATCTGGAAAAATCTGTAAGTTTTATGTATCCGGCTTCTGGAGGAAATGTAGCTGAACCTTTAACAATCTGTTAATAAATAAATAAAATAATCTCATTTATATTAGTTCATATTATGAACCACACCTGAGCTGTGAATTTCGATGCATAATCTTGGGGAATTTCATTACTGTATACCGTTTCGATAGGCATACGATAAAACTTTCCTACTGAATATGTGTAAATCAGACCAGATAATTAAGACATCAAGGGGATCTTACTGAGAAATTATTCTTCTATAATTTAGTTGATGTTATAAAATTTCCTGGACTATGTAGATTACACAAAGTTTACCGTAAAATCGTCTCTGCTTTGAATAAACTTTAAAATGACTTAGCAAGAAAAGTAAACATTTCAATTTTAAGGCTTACTGACAGAGAGTAACCTAAACTAAACCTCGGCAACGAAAGGCATATAATGGTGCAGCAAACTATTTTGAGTACGAAATGTTTTATTACTGAACATTTTACTCCATCATTTAGTGTTTTCATCTATGATACATCCTCTGGCGCTTCTTATTCCTGATCATAATTGTTATTAATTCGGATAATTGAGCATAATATTCTCCATTTGATGGGAAGGTAAATGTGAAACTAGCAACCTACATATCTTAGGTTTGAAGATAACAAACGATATTTCAGTGCTCATTGCTACCTTCCATGCAATCGGCTCGTGTCTTGTGCAAGCTGAAGAACTAAGCTATTAATGATCTTCATAATCAGCAACGTAATTTTGATCATCATCTGACAAGAGGAACGCAGTTAACGAAATGCTTACGATAAGCGCATAGATATTTTAAAATATCACTGCGTGCTGTTAATTTGCAGGCATACCGTGAACTCTGTAGAGAAACAAGATGATAGTTCCATCGTTATCTGCATATCTTAGTATACTATAGTGATATATATATATATATTCAATAATCAAGTAACGATCAAAACAAATGCCATATTTTTCCTTATATATTGGTGACGCTTTGTGCGTAACCACATTTACATTCAATATCTATTGTTTATTCATATCGGTTGTAAAATGGACGTAATTGATTGACTGGTTAATATTCACTGTTGTAAATCGAATAAACTCTATCGCCGTCAAATAAAAATGTGGTCTTTATCTTTTCCTTCACAAAGTTGTTGAATATACATGTCACTATAAATTTCCGTACATAGTGAAAATGGAGAAGTTAAAGATATGTATTCAATTTTCTACACAAAAGCATACACAGTAGGTTCAGAAAATCTGAATAGCTTAGGGATAAAAGACGTCATGACATACACGAGACGTGTGATGGGTCATTCGTAGGTCTTTATCAAGTTGTGATCATCCTAAAGGTCGTAGATACTACGTGAAGTTTGTACAGTTAATACTGAGAATAAAATATGGGCTTGATTTTAAGTCTAATGGGGAAACCTTTGCATCAGATCTCATTTCAAGATGTAGTTCTCTAGAATCCCCCCGTATGAATAAGTGAACCAATTGCTCCTCATCCACTTATCGCTAAACTATATGGAACAAAAACTGCAAATAGAAATGTCTCTTGAACAATTTGTTTCAGGCATACCAGAGAATTAAACTGAATAAAATTGTAAGGGATAATAAAAATCCAAACTTATAAACACTTGAAATTGATGTTGATCATATTAGTTTTACTGGACGTAAACCAATAGAAGGCGCCAATTAAATTACCCTAATAAGATCATTCGGGACGCTTGTAGTGACCTACCTTTATCAAGAGAACGCGATTGGTGTAATGGAAAGAATTATTATTATAACCAATTGTACCAGGGATTGTTTTACAGTACCTGTTTGTTTAGCTGTACCAAAACACGCACATTCTTCCGTTGATTGTGACCTTGTACGAAGTCGGTTACGCTCAGTAACCACGCTTGTAACCTGGCACGATCTCGGTATTCTTTCGATACCACGAGATCGCCAACAAATACATCTCGACTACAGCCATCAACTGCCTTCTGATATTTGGCCTACTGGGGATCTTATCGGGTAACTAGCAGGTAGTCTTCCTGTAGCGGTGATTATAGTCAACCGCGAATTGACGACACACTACACGCCCATCAAGTTAAGCCATGGACTGTCGCGCACATGTTACATTTTCCCGAGGATTTTGAATGTTATTATTTATCAGCAATTACAGCATTCTTTTCCTGTCACATGTCAATTTTCGTAATGTTTGTGCTTGCTACGTAACTCTTATTGTAGTTTATTAATAGTTTGCGTATTTGTTGCTCACAACCTGGTTGAATGTTTAGTCATCCTAATGCGGTTATTTGTAACATTGCCTACTCAAGCAAGTAAAACCCACCATTTATTAAGTCAAAAATAGACCACAATCACAGTTTTAAGCAAAAAGTGAGCTCTAAAACCTCTTACATTTGGTTTACCTCTCTAATTATGATGGTGATGAACATGGACATTGGTAGTTGCTTATAAAATGTAGGTTGAAGCAATTATGTGTTAAACAATTTTTGAATGTTATACAAGTTGCTAATATACAGCCATAAACAGTTCTATCAATCATAATTATCATTGCTTTTGAATGAAGTGTCATATTGTTATGTAAGGTGTCTAAGAAAGAAAAGTTATCTCTAACATTTACCCAATCTGGACAAAATCTTCCCCAAAATAGCGACATTGGGAAGTTACGAAGCAACAATCGACCCATCGTGTGCACCACAAGACAGTGAAAGCTAAATCAATGTTCTTCGCAATGATTTTGTGGTTTTGCTGCAGCAAAAGACCGCTTAAATATGAAAACACCTGATATTCCTGCAACCCAACGGACACTCAACTAACACAGCAATTGAAATACGGAATGACCGCCTTCTGACAGGCCGTTCAAGGTCGTTGAAACGAAGTGGCGGTGGCTTTGAAAGGATCTGACATTTTCTTGTGCCGATCGTTCGACCAACTGTGCATCGCCTCTCTTGATTCAACCAGCTCGTGCAGCAGTTTAACTTGATGTTATTTCTGAATATGACCAAGTGCGTCATTAATATCGGTCATCATCATCTTCATTGGCTTTGAAATCTTTACGGTGTAAAATGCTTGTGTACCACTGTTTTCCGATTCTTCTGTGTCCAAATCATCATCAAGATCAGCCATAGACCGTCATAATAAAAGGGAAAATGTGTTGTCGTCTGGCTAACAGTGTTAATGTATTTGCAGAATTGAAACTATTAAGTTTGTTTGTTCATGCTGGGACCCTTTTCTTTGACATCCATACGTTTATTTTGGACGGATCTTGCAGTTTCAAATTGAACTGTATGGTGCAAGAGTGTATCGTGAATAGTTTTGAACAGTGGAAGAATATCAAAAGGAAATAAGGAAATTTTTTGCTGTTAATTTCCCGACATTCTTGTACAAAGTTCACTGATGGAAAAGTGCTATTTGGCGCAAGCAAATAAAGTTTTCAGCTTCTCTAAAGTACCCATATCCTGAGACTATTCGTTCCTTCTTGGTCTCCACGATCATCAGAGAGTTTTGTAAACTCCATTTCAAGTCTCCAGTATTGGATGCCAGTATATCATTCACAACTTACATAGACTTACGCTGAGGTCAAACTGTCTAGTGCTTTTCCACCTTGACTCTTCCCAGTCTGGTTATCAGGCTTTCCTGGTCCTTTGGAATATTCCGAAATTAAAACTTTTTGCAAAAATGTATGTTTATAGCGACTCACGTGCAATTGGGTTTATTCTCATTTAACTTAGTTAAGCCCTTTTGCTAACTCATTTAGCGGACAAAGTCATCCGCACTATAACAACTTATTGTACCCTTATTATTTTGTGCTTGTATGAAATACGTATGCTTGAATATTGCTTACGGCCTACGCATTTATTCACTTTGCTAGTCTTACTACTAACTGCTTATTTGATTCGATTACTCATTCATTTCACATGCTATATATATGTCCATGTTATTCATAGTCACTCACTCACTCACTCGCACGCTCTCGTCTCGCTCTTGCTCTTGCTCTCGCTCGCTTGCTTGCCTTTCGGCACAACTCTTCTATGTTTGTTTAACGCATCTGTACATTTGGATATATGTGTGTGGTCTCACAATAAACGTAATCAACACTTCGTATTTGCCTTCTGATTAATATACCTTTGGGACGTTATATAGAACGGTTATCAAGACGAACTTTATACGAAGTTTAATGGTTATATCGAACACCGACCACCACATGTTTACATGAACAGAACAAGTAAGGAACTATGTACAAATGTTAAGACCAAGCTGGTATGCTGGACAAGCTATGCCACCAGTTGATCTGTGAACGATAATGAGCCACTCTTGACCTTGATGGGTGGCTTTGGTCAGTTGAACGTTAAATGGCTAGTTTGATAGGGTTAAAACCCGCTCAACATTATAAGCTTTTTATCAGAATCATGCACCATTTTCCATATTTGAATAGAGAATACTGCTGACATGAATATTGTTACCACCCAACCATCACTGCATCCAACAAGTTCACGAGGAATAGGAGCGGAACGAATAACTATTCAGATAACCCTTACTCAACCCTATGCCACTCAGTCGTCACAATATACCACTGCCAGATAGAAAAAATCTGTAAGACTACGTTTAACGAAAAGTTTTGTAGTACTTCTTTTCGCGTTACTTCACGTTCCTCAACAAAAATATTTGGTAGACCACTTATAAGTCATACCTTACCAACCAATTATCCTAAACACAGTCAAACGTTCAAGGTTACTAGCAGTATCAGTGCGGGACAAACAGTCCAAATTAATTTAGCTAGAGTTTAATATCATTCCACTAACTTCACAGAGGCTATTTATGAAACGTAGACGATTAGTCGAATGGTGTTTTGAAATAATTGGCATTCGTTTACTTGTAAAGATACTTGGAAAATGTTGGCGCTTCCAATTGGACACATCTGGATCTTAGGACTACGTGCGAAGTCCAAAAAATTAAGAATATATGTTCTTTTCATCTTTCTCTTGATATTTTAATAATAAAAAGCTCACGTTACTGAAGAAAACTCTGATTCAGTACTTTGTTTAGCAAAAGACCATTTGATCGTACATACCGATCAACATAGTTCGTACCATGTAGTTCGTTTTGCTTCGGTAACTTGTATCAATTGTTTCTGTCAATGCTAAAGTTGAGATTCAGCTGCTTGACTGTTGATTAGTTTGTAGCGGTAAATAAATCCCCAAAATAAATAGCTCTGTAAGTTTTCAACATTGGATGCTGACCATATGTTTTAGTGGACTCATCTAGCTGAAGGCGCTAGGTCATGCATCCTCACCAGATCACTTGTGGTAACACTGTGCTCAACATCTACCGCAATCGCTAGCCAGATTAGATCAGAGAATTCCGATATATTGGTTATCGCCAAATACACTCTTCCGATCTCCTCGACTCTGTCTTTTGGTTTCTCTTGGTGGGTACGAATTATATTAGAAGGTGTTTCTGGTAAAAGCGTTGTCAAACACTGAGTGCCTGCGCCATATTCATTGGTGAGATCGACGTGATCTGGCACACCTAATTGCAACTGTGAGTCTGTTCCTTTATGGGATTTTTATATATTATTACCTTATTATTTATTTTTTTATACATTGTGATATTTTTTCCCCGTGTCTCAGGATATCTATCTATTTTCCCCTCGTATTCTCGTACTTAATTTTCCCCTATGACTGAACAGACCCCCAAGGTATTTAAGATTAAGACTATGTCCCCACCCTCGTTCCAACTCATGCCCTTCTGACCCGACAAAATCGAAACCTGGTTCTGTTACGCAGAAGCCGACTCCCACGAGCACGGCGTAAACGACACACGCGCACAACTCCTCGCAGTAGTCAGGGCACTACCGCGCGAATTCAACAGGTATGTAACACCTAGTATGTTTATTAGTGATGTTTCTGAACCTTACGAAACATTAAAACGTTCGATTCTTAAACGAGGAGACCTAACCGATCGACAAAGGGTAGATCAACTCTTTATTAACATAGACCTGCAACACGCTTCCGCGACGGACATTTTGCAAAGAATGAGAGAAGTGATCGGCCTAAGAACTTTCGACGAAGGCCTATTCAAACATATTTTCTTGTCTAAACTTCCCCAACAGGTGCAATCAGTTCTGGTTTCGCTTCAGAACAACGCCTTAGACGAACTGGATGCATTTGCCGATCGTATCTTAGAAATTCCGAAATCTTCAATGATAGAGGTTTTTCAGTCAAAGAAAAGCCTCAAACGACCCAGAATGACATAACAGAGTTATGTCATACCCTTACACGTTATCTTAATTTTCGTAACGACCGTAAGCGATCACACACCCCACGTAAACGATCTGTCTCTAGACCACGAGAGACGGATAACCCCGACTGGTGCTGGTATCATAACCAGTATGGAAAGTCCTCCAGAAATTTCATAAAATCCTGCAGTTTTCCCAACTAAAAATCGACCAACATGAAAAACAATTCGGGAAACTTCCAAGAGGGCTTGCGTTACAGCAACCGTAGCCGGCGAACATAGCCGTCTGTTATACGTCACAGATGTGACAACGAGAGTTCGCTACCTCGTCGACAGTGGCGCAGAAGTTAGCGTTCTCCCTGCAAATCCTAACTACCGGCCTCACGAATCGGTTTTAAATCTACAGGCGGCAAGCGCAAAACATATCGCAATATACGGTAAGACTTACGTTTACGTTAACGTGGGTTTACGTAAACTCATACACTGGATTTTCATTGTTGCAGAGGTTCCTATGCCAATCATTGATATAGAACTTCTACAACACCATAATCTAATCATCGATACGCGCAAACAGAGGCTGGTAGACGGAAACACTAATTTATCCGTTTGCGTAACTTCTTTTTCTGGTTGCAGATTATCCCCGGTCACAATTAAGCATACGATAGACCCACTTTATCAACCACTACTCGATAAGTATCCTGGGATACAACAAACGCATTCGAAACTACCGTGTGTAACCAGCAACGTTACACATCACATCACGACTACAGGACCATCTGTATTCTTTAAAGCACGACGAATAGCCCCCGAAAAGCATGGATGACACCAAACAAACTATTTACACCTGATGGAGATACTCTGGAAGAGGTTGAAACGTTCACGTACCTGAGTAGAGCAGCACCATAGATCAACCACGAGGATCCGATGCAGATGTGTAGGTAAGGATTAGTTAAGCAATCACAGCATTCCTGCTGTTGAATAACATGTGAAGCTCAAATCAACTGTCTGCGAACCAACATCAAAGTCACATTCTTTATTACGAACATCAATGCATTTCAGTTGTGTGGAGGTGGAATTAGGAAAACTAGTACGACCATCATTAAAACAGTATTGATGTTTATAACCAATTTTCTACACATTATACCCAATGTCTGTTTGTTGGATGCGATCAGCAACAGACTACTGTGTACGAACACAAACCAACTTCCAGTTGAAGTGGAAATTAAGAAAGGACGTTAGAAGTGGATAGGCAATACATTAAGAAAATCATCAAACTTCATCACGAGACAATCGCTAACTTTGGATCGTGAAAGGAGACGGAAAAGAGGAAGATCAAGACACAGTGTGCTGGCTATTGGAAACATACATGAAAAGGATGAATAGAAACTGGAAAGAACTGGAAAGGATTGTCGAGGTCATAGTTCTATGGAGAATGTTAATGGGTCGCCTATCCTCCTCCACGACGATGAGTAACAGGCGCAAGTAATTAAGTTATTTGACAATTAATGAATCCTGAGGAGATTAAATTCATATCTTCTGTAAAGCTATGTACACAGTTTTCTTATAGTATTGTTCATCAAGACTTCTAGATTGAAGGATTAATTATTTGTTATATACACTTATGAAATGTACCTCCTAGGTCTTTTAGTGACACAACATTCATCCATTTGACTAGAGATTATCACATGTAAAATTAACAATAGGTAAAGATGGATAGTGGCTAGCAGTGGAATCCAGGACGCGCGTTTCGTCCTGTTTGGGACTCGTCAGCTGGATGTACCTGCATCTCAGAGTTGATGTTCACTCTGGGACTCGAACTCAGTACCGTTCGCTTCAAACGCCATCGCGTTATCCACTTAGCTACTGAGTCCTGATAGCCACTTGCTTGTGCAATGGGTTGAAGTTTAATTCACTTGATATTGTTTTATTTGTATCTTCCCATTGATGTTTTTGGAGTGAACATCAACTCTGAGATGCAGGTACATCCAGCTGACGAGTCCCAAACAGGACGAAACGCGCGTCCTGGATTCCACTGCTAGCCACTATCCATCTTTGCTTACAATGCTTGTAAATTAAGGCAATATCGAGGCATACGCACAGTATGCACATATTCCAATAAGAGACTGATCAATTTCAGTCGAAAAACATCAATGGGAAGATACAAATAAAACAATATCAAGTGAATTAACAATAGGTTTTTCCGTTTCATTGAAGTGAACCTTGTTCAACGAACATAGTGAATTCATAATAAATTTAGTAACTAGTTTCTTCAAATAAGAGAGAATTCGAACAAAATAAGTTATTTTCCCACATTACTGACTGAAAAAAATTGCTCCACCTACAACTTCAAGTCTCCCAGTCTAACATTAATACGTATATACTCTGCTATTATTGCTTGCAGAAAATATTCCTCTCAATGGCTCTGTGCCGTTTCGCTTGGTACAAACTACCATTTTTCGCCGTTATACACGCATTATTCTGGCTGCCAACCACGTAAGTATAATTTTTGTGTTGTAACCTCAACACTTACAGTTGGTTACTTGTAAAATTAAATAGAAATTTTAAGACTCACAACTCTGATAAACGTCAAACATCCATATTTCGATAAATGCCAAGACACATACATATCATGCACATATTTTCTGCAATTTCTCAATAGGTCACAATTGAAAACGTTCATTTGGAATCAGAGTAGATGTTAATGTATCAGAAGTGGATAAGGTGATAATGACCATTATATAACAATGCAAATGTTCACAGATTTACTATAATGTTTAGGGAATTATACAGGCGTATACTTTGCAGAGGTCAATTAGTATTGTGTAAATACCCGAAATGAAAACTTATCAGGTAACCAAATGAACAATGCAAACAATAAATCAATGTTAGAAGCTTATGACACGGAACATACATCATTAGTTTATAGTCGGGATCAAAATAACGATCTATGGAAATTCGATTAGAAAATTGTGGAAATAATTTTTTGAAGGTGTATTAGGAATGATCTTTCATGAAAAAGCAGTAAAACATACAGAAAATATTAGGTTGATATCACATTGGAATCGTGTTCTTCTTCTGAATACACTCAGATAGATTTGGTTTTCAGTACTGTTTGAAGTAAAGAGAGACCAATGATTCAATAAAATTCATATGAACGTAATAATAATTATATACCAGAATGAGAATAAACCAATTAATGAAAAACATGCAGATATCCTAGCATAGTATTCATGAATGCAAACTTGTCTATGTAGTGGGGTATACTGAAGATTGTCTGTGTTTAACAGGCTTTTCATATATTTCAATCTATCTTAAACAGAACCCATATGATCTATTCAATAGAATTATACTGTTTTCGATCGACTAATAGGTTTATAATAAAATAGGTTTTACGAATGAATGCGAACGTTGAACAACAAGACAGCCTTGTTTATATACATGATTCGAGAATATTAAATGCATGAAGCGGATTATCATCCATGAGTCCCACACAAAAATAAACCTGCTATCCGATATTCATTGGTTTTTTTTATATAAACAGTATCATTTAATTATAACTGCTTATTATTAAGTTTTTTAATTTGCACACTCATTTATAAAAATGATCTTAATTTAATTCCGAATCTAAGGTATCTGATCGCGATTTCCAATGACCATATTTCACCAGTCGTATCATATGTAAGGTGGGTTCGTTTCTCATTTCTATGATCACATTTTTTTTGTGATTAAAAAATTTGTACCTAGATCGCTTAAAACAAACCAAGTGAATATAAGATTTAATCACTCATTTCTTATCTTATAAAATGGCTAAAAATGGCTTATCAGCAAACCGGTAATAGTTCCTTGTAAATTTCAGTAGCGAATATTGGTTTCATGTTACAGAGTAACAAAAATATACAGAGCGGTACTTTCAAACGAATCAAAATGATTTATCTGAACAGTACGTATTCAATAACCTCCGAAATCAATATTATATTTGATTCTAGTTTGAAAGATTTCTGGAACACTGTTTTTACGACTTTATCATTGAAGTACTCCTCAATACAGTCAACTGAAATGCATCCTCATCGTGTTTGTCCAAAAATGTAGTGGTACAATCTCATATAGCGATGGTCATGGTTTTCACTTGACCTGTTAAATAACGACGATTATTTGGAATTGATTATCAAGATTTATTTAACATAATTACTGAGTGACTGTGATGAATACGAAGGTGATTTCATTCTTTATTTGGCAAAGTTATTCTCTTCACGTACTTCATATAACATAAACAGATTTATCACTTGTAACAAAGTCATTAAGGTCACAATTAGCTGACTCTTTTAGAAACTATTCAGAAATTGTTGTTCTTATGATGTTTTTATGATAGAGCAATATATCGCGCACTCATCGAAGATAAATAGAGAACACTAACCAGGGATGCAGATGTGAAGGCGCGGATCGGCAAAGCAAGAGCAGCATATTTACAACTGAGGAACATCTGGAACTCAAAGCAACTGTCAACCAACACCAAGGTCAGGATCTTCAATACAAATGTCAAGACGGTTCTACTGTATGGGGCAGAAACCTGGAGAACTACAAAAGCCATCATCCAAAAAATACAGGTGTTTATTAACAATTGTCTACGCAAAATACTTCAGATCCATTGGCCGGACACTATTAGCAACAACGTACTGTGGGAGAGAACAAACCAGATCCCAGCGGAGGAAGAAATCAGGAAGAAGCGCTGGAAGTGGGTAGGACACACATTGAGGAAAGCAGCCAACTGCGTCACAAGACAAGCCCTCACATGGAATCCTGAAGGTCAAAGGAAAAGAGGAAGACCAAAGAACACATTACGACGAGAACTGGAGATAGACATGAGAAAAATGAACAAGAATTGGATGGAACTAGAAAAGAAGGCCCAGGACAGAGTGGGTTGGAGAATGCTGGTCAGCGGCCTATGCTCCATTGAGAGTAACAGGCGTAAGTAGGTAAGTAAGTAAGTAAGCAACATTATTGCATAATTTTCAACTGAACATATGAGGTGAAGGAGGTAAGTAGGTAAGATCATAAAACACATACAGAATGTATAATATCCACAAAACCCTTTCTGAAAATAGAATAAGAGAGCAAGAACGAAGATTGATGCAGAATAATATGAATTCATTTTATTTCATTAGGTTCTCATCAGCTGCTTACAACCTAAAATATTTGAAATTCAAAATTATTACAGATATTGACATACTTATACATAAGTGGGTGATTAAAGATGAATAAATGTATCATGGTGTAGCGAAGATTCCGATAGAGTTAATGAGGTCATAAAATTTTGTCTCTAATAAATAGAGTTTGAGAGGGAAAGTTCCAGAACATTGAAATAGTGACTAGAACTCATGAAAATAGATTAATGGTAATAAAGAAAATATGAATTGAAATCAGTCAGTTATGTATGATGTAATTTAAAAGAGTTGGAGTAATGCCGCAATAAATAAATAAGTAGAAATAAATGAATAAAAAGAGGGCTATTGTTACCAGGGTAAAGAAAGATTTATTACTGTCTCTTTTTGTACACAGGGATCTGGTTTTAGACGTTTGATAGCAATCTTTGTTCTTGCTCTCTTTAAGATAAAGGGAACTATGTGTATGAAAATAGAACAATTGTTTTTTTAGATTAAAGTACTTTATGTCATCACAAAATTAAAGTGTTGAATAGATTTTCTAAGCAACTTAAAAGCACAACATTAATCTGAGAAAAACTAATATTTGTGAGACTTTAATTTATGGACGACCTTTGAGAGACGCCAAAGTGACCTTGGGAGTGTCTACTTACTTAGTAAATTGGGGTTATAAAGCAGTTTGAAGAATAAGGATTATGATTTACAGTTGATTAGGGTTAGCAATTAGATCGTAAATCTGATTGGATCGTCTCGGCTATTTGTTAAAGATTAGACTCGGAAGTTTTGGTAATCATTTTGCTGGCCGATGTATACTTGGGAGATATATAATTGATACCAGCTTTTGCGAAAGTGTACATTTGTAATTATTAAGTAATCTATACCATTTTAAATATTAGAATATGGAAATCCTCAGATGAACGACTAGAAATTTTGCTATGAAAGGGATAAAAATGTCGAACTCAAAGGATTATGCTTATTTGGGTAAACCTAAATCCATTTCAATAATTTCGGGTATGACAACTTAATCCCTTATCATTGTATAGTCTTTCTCACGTATTTTCGATTCTTCCGAGTTATTATTCATTTGACCTTATTTAGTTTACGTATAGAACTGTATTAATTAGGATATCAGTGATTATCCCATTTCTGTAGTCCAATTCCATCTCATCAACACACTTTCAACATTTTTGAAATGAACTGATTGTTTCAGATACTGAATAATGTTCCACGCATATTCGTACGTGAAAATTGATTGTTTAATGGAAAATTTATTTACATGATATTTTCGAAGGAAATCTGTTCTATATTACATCTACTGAAAGTTAATTAGTTGAATATTAATTCGGTGCATGGAAAACCATTACTGTTTTCTTCGCTAACAATGTTTCAACCAATTATTGAATGAAAACATCTTGACAACAGAAAACACAAGTTTATTGTTCAATTACACTTCCAATTTTTTTAAAAAACAAATCTAAACTGATGTTTTAGATTAATTGCCATTTATGTAATAATATTTGTAGCGCACTTGGTATCTATCCACCGGAAAAATACATGTTCATGGTTCTAATGTCAAGTTATGGAATAATGGGTAGGTTGAACTGCTTGCCGTCATCAATATATTTAGATTTTTGAAAGAAAATACTCTTCAATTCATACTGAATTTGAGTTTCCCGTATTATATATTGCAACATAATGATAATTTAAATGTTAATTTAGGTACGTTAGACATCGACATGACCTGAGATTTATTCTTAAAGTACTTTGAATGTGATCATGCATACAATAGTGATGATTCTCACACGTATACCTAAGTTCCAATCATAAACATTCCTTATGAAGCCTTTGCATGGGATTAAAAGCTTGTTAGAAGATACTGATAATTAAGTATTTCGTCTACTAAATTACTGGTTTGTTAAATGAAAAGTTTGGCTTTCTGTATTAACCAGTCAGTTCAAACGAGGTTCAAACAAGCGTTTATTCATAGCAAGCAATAACTTTGAGTGAAATAGAGATAATATCTACTGTACCGATAACCCTTGTTTCTGTTTCTATTATGCAGATAACAGACAAGATTTTGATTTTTCTGTGTTATTAGGACACGTTATCTAAATTATTTATCTAATTTATTTATTCGATAAAAATAAACGTCCATTTTTGTTGTGTTTCAGCTACTTTGAGTCAATGGATTTGGTGTTGGAAAGCTGGAGTTCAAATAAGAAAAATGAGAAGATCCATAATACTTCATTTTCTACGTGTAGTTGTTGCGGTATTTATGACGATAGCTGGGATGTGTATAGTCGGACTTTCTTTTATTAACGTATGTTTATCAGCCTTTTCATTTATGAGTATTGATATCAATCTGATTTACTAATGGTGTTTTTTTAAAGAAAAAGCTGATTTCAGAGAAAAGAGTACAAAAACTCAACTCAAAGGGAATATTTAAGAGATAATAAATTAATATCAGATGGGTTTTGTGGATATTATAGCAATTTCAATGGTTAAGATAATGAGTCATTTGAAGCTAGAGCACCATGGAAAACCTGAAAGCACTGGAAGGCCATTTTGTCCTATTGTGGGACTCCTCAACATATGCTCACTAGTGACTGGCTTCAAGAGGTATATCCTGGAGTTCTAGTGAGAAGTAATTACCAGTGGAGTTCAACCAGGTCTTTTTTGAGATAACAACTCACTGAAGACAACGGTGGATGTGTCGCTCAATTTCGTGGATTAGTTGAAGTTAGACATTAGCACCGTTGGATGCCGGCTCAGTGGTCTAGTGGTTAAGTGCTCACGCGCGAAACTAGTAAGTCCTGGGTTCGAATCTCGCAGGGGACGAGGTCGTGGATGCGCACTGCTGAGGAGTACCATACTAGGACGAAACGGCCTTCCAGTGCTTTCAGGTTTTCTATGGTGGTCTAGCTTCAACTGACTCATTATCTTAACCATTGAGATAATAAATTGTCAAAACTAAGTGAATTTAAGCTTTCAATTATTTTAAATTATTCTTTCCCATTCTCATTTTCTTACTTTTTAATAGAATAGATACAATAAGTAGTTTGAGGATAGAGCTGCACTAAATAAAAATAACAAAAAAATACCTTATCACTTGATAAGAAATAAAGCTTATTTTAATTGATATGATTCATTATGATTGTGCTAGTGTTTATATCATTTGATTGAAGAAACTATGTAGCTTACTTTCATGTTCTCACTTGAAAACTGTGCGATTTCAGTCAGAACAAATGACAATTTAAATAAATTGTTTTCCGGTAAACAACTCTTGATAAACTGATTCAATATAAAAGCTAGTTGCGAGAAGCAAGAGAACTTTGATGTCATTTACCAATACTTGAATTAGATTTATTCAAACTCTTACTTTATTTACTTTATTTATTTATTATGATTTGAATAGACAAAAGAAAACAACGCTAAACATTATCATTTGACTTTATTGAATTTTATTTGTCATGTTATTGCAATTCCTTGTGGAGCAGTTGTAATCGCCTGTATTTCAAACAAATGGATATTATATTGTTTTGCAAGACTATTTATTGTTATTCAAATGGTACTGGCATCTGCTTCATGTGAGTGTTTATAAAGCACAAAAAAATTCTTACTATATATTACACAAGTTCAACTACATTCGATACATAGTTTTTGCATGATAATTAATGAGATTTAAACTTTGAAAATATTGGACCTATTTAAAATATTCTATTTACATTCATAAATCTGCTAGAGAAAATTCCCAATATACGTATATAAACAAGAAATATAAACAAAGAATATGCTTTTAAATAACTTTTAATAACTTAATTACCAGAAAAACCAAATATTCATTCAAAGATTTCACAATACATGAAATATGGTTTGACTAATATTTGACGAAAATGTATAATCCTAGTCATAAGATAATAAATACCAGTGGAGTCCAACCTGGTCTGTTGTGAGATAGTAAATCACTGAAGACAATGATGGATGTGTCGCTCAATTTTGTGGATTAGTCGAAGTTAGACATTAACATCGTTGGATGCCGGACGGCTCAGTGATTTAATCGTTAAGCGTTCACGCGCGAGACTGATAGGTCATGGGTTCAAATCCCGCGAAGTGAGATAGTGGATGAGCACTGCTGAAGTGTCCCGTAATAGGAGGAAACGGCCGTCCGGTGCTTCTAGGTCTTCCATGGTGGTCTAGCTTCAACTGACTCATGATCTCATCTATTGAAATAAATTATATGTTAATGTCTCAAGAAAAATTCTGATATTTAAGAAAGGAAACATTAAGCAAAGTGCCGTTACAATGATTCATAAAGTATTTACACCTTAAATAACTGATATACATGATATTACAATGAAGTTGAGACATATACTTTAGTATTTTGAGACACCTTATTCTCTTTTATTACTTGTTATACTTGTTATTTCAATGTTGATTTACTATAAAACAGTACTTAAGTTAATTATCATATGTAAAATTAACAATCATAATTATTAATTTCAACGCACCCGAAACGAGTTAGTAATTTTTTAACTTCAAGGCATAAATACTCAGTGTAAACCTGGTTACATTATTGATAGGTTGATTAATTTTTGAACTACAACAAATGATTGTTTCCCTTCTTAATATTAAGTATGTTTCTTTAACAAGCAGATTGTAGATTATGATTTTCTTTAAAAGACAATACTATTAATGTGAATAATTTAGAGTACGATATTCCGAAACAGCGTTTATGACTTCATAGTTAGGAAAAAGATAATATAGATAATGCACTATTGAACCATTGAAACCACTGTTAAAAATGGCTATAGAACATAGTAAATGCTTAAAATAAACAGTGAATCAGTGATGGAAAAGCTTAACAAACTGTGAATGTTTATTCAATGTGTTTATCGGGACCTTAGGTCCCAATAATTCATTAACTCATCTTATTTAGGTATGTTGATAACTAAGAATCCTTACCGATCAGTCATTGTATATAATACACAGATCTTGTATGTCAGTAACAAATAATTCCTATTCTGAATATTTCATCGTTTATACAGCTCTTTTGTTCAAGGGAGCTATCTTCAATAATGTAACAACACGAGGTTGAAGTTCCTATGAGTTTGTTTATGAGAAATCACAATAAAAATAGCATTAAACAATTTGATAGTTTGAATCTTGCATGGGTTACAAAAAGCAGAAGTTTAGTTTTGTTTCATAATGATAACAGTCATAAAGTGTAAATACTTGTCACCACTAATAAATCAAGTATATCTTTACGATTCCCGATAGAAACAGTAAATATGAAATCATTTTAAGTAAATGATTTTATATTCTACAAGCATTGAGAATATTTATATTGTCAGAAGGGGTTTGTGGAGATTTAAGAAATTTCACAGATTGAAATCATGAGTCATTGAAGCTAGACCACCATAGAAAACCTAGGAGTACTGGACGGCCGTTTCGTCCCATTGTGGGACTCCTCAGCAGTACGCATCCACGATCCCGTCTCGCGAGATTCGAACCAGATTAACCATTAGACTACTGAGCCGTCCGGCATCCAACGGTGTTAATGTCTAACTTCAACTAATCCACGAAATTGAGTGAAATTGATTTAGCTTCAATTGACTTATGATCTCAACTATTAAAATTACTATAATATCCACAAAACCCTTTCTGAAAATAGAATAATTGTTTTTTTTTAGATTAAAATACTTTATGTCATCGTAAAAATAAAGTGTTGAGTAGATTTTCTAAGCAACTTAAAAGGTTGATAGGTCCTGGTTTCGATTCTCGCGGGGTGCGGGATCGTGAACGCGTGCTGCTGAGGAGTCCCGTGCTAGGACGAAACGGCCGTCCAATGCTTCCAGGTTTTCCATGGTGGTCTAGCTTTAATTGACTCATGATCTGTGAAATATTTATATTGACATATAGGGTTATAGATATATATAACGAAATTTTTCTTTTGTTTATCAGGTTATTCAGTTGATAGAATGTATCTAATTATAAATGTGTCATTGTTTATTTTAAAAATGTTAACTTATATTTTTCATTTATCAGTTGTACATTTCAATATGATTGGACTTAAAGTTTTAAAAGCGAAAGATTTCTTCTATATCAAACCTTATGAATCGGTAAGTGATATATGAGAGCACAAACTTTGTTTGTTAAAATTGATAAATTAGTCAGATAAGGACAAAGTATAGGATTGCATTATTAATGAAGGCTGAGTTTCTGCTTAAAAAAGTACTTTCAGTCTTTCTCAAATATTTAAATAGTGTCCTTTTCAAGTTAAGGGTTAAATTAGTTCATTCCGACGGTTTTCTTCATGATTAATCATCTCCTTAGGTTGCGTTGTCTTCATTTGTCCTTGTATTCAAAGTTGAAAGCCTCGTTGATTGACCTTTAAACAAGTAGTTGATCAAACATTTTTATCCCACATTCGGGATCGTGAAACCACACTGCTTAGAAGTCCTATACTACGACGAAACGACAGTTTAGTACTCCCAGGTTTTCAATGGTAGTCTAGCTTTAATTTGCGAATTCAACTGTGAGACGTTTTGTACAAGTCGATAAGCCACGTCTATCTTAATGTGTCGGTTGATTGGCAATTGATCTGATTGTCAGGTTTCTAGAAACTCACAGGTAATATTACAAATCCTTTGATTCAGGATTTCAGAATTTTTTCAGTCGAATTCATGCACGTGGTTGTCTGTGTAAGATGATATCAATGGTAATATATCATGAACTTTCAACAATAGTATGTGTCGATATATCCGTAAGTGAGAGAGCGATTTCCACATAGTCTAATGTATAGATTATCAAAGATGGAAGAATTTATTCTATGAACTATGTGGCATTTATTTTCTTTCACTGTTACTGTTGTTTATAATGAAAGTGAAAACTTCACAATTATCCTACATAGACCAGGCGATTCCATTATTTCAAAATAATACTATTCTAACAATAAAGTAGTAACTGTCGTCTAAATATTTTACTTTGGCAAAGCTGAAAGTTATGAGATAAATGATAAACTTAAATTTGAAATTTGAAAATATATAACAATCATAGTTGTAATTAGATTAATCATAAAATAATATTTTTTGTATTTATACAGGGTTATATTGAATTTGTATGGAGTGCAGTAAGCGAATGGTGCGTTGTTTTGGGTTGTGCAGAATTAACATTTATTATAGCTTTGGAACTTCGAGATTTTCAAAAATCGGTTATGAATTTACAAAGAAGTTCCAATTTAAATGTGTAGTCGGTTTAAAAGGAAAAGATCCAAAATGTAAAAAATATATTTTTTAGATTATTTTAAAAGATCATTGAATGAAAATAGTACAAAGATCTAGAATTTCTGATTGAAGATATTGTACATATAACTGACTATTTAAAATTACTTAGCTGAAATTTATAAACTTGATAAAAGTTAGAAATTGTGTTTTCGGTTATTCATATATTGATTTTATCAACACTATTTGTCAGATGTTTTCTATGGAGATGTTATTTGTATATGGTATCTTAATATAACCTTCTAGTTATCAAGATATTTTGATGACAATAACTTGTACAGTATTCAAAGCTTATTTATTGAACAAATAAAAAATATTTCTAATAAATTGTGTTTATATCTGTTATAACTTGTGACCGCCGATTAGGGAGCAGTGACTTATCGATCGTATAAATGACGCGTACAACACATGCGAGCAGTCTAGAGTCCTGACTGGCCCTGTTTCTTGTCTAGCCCAGCCAGTTAAGTCCAGAACACAAGTCTCAGCCTCTGCGATATGAATCCTGTATTTCAAACATACTCTGTTTTTATACACCAATCAAGCAGACCACATCGTACCATAAAATAGAAAATAACATTTGTACAATATTTGGCCAACAGGAAAATGACACGTGAAATAAATATTGGCCAATAGGAAAATAACACCATGTCACGTCCACGGATAGGATATTCTTTAATGTCGGATTGTTTGATGATATTGGTTATGTATTGTGATTATTTTTATCATTGTAGTGTTTTTGTAAATATAAAGGAAAACAACTAAAAATATACCTTATTCATGGATATATCAATATTATCTTAATTATTTAATGAATTCGACAATAGCTAGTTGATTACATAAAAACCAATATTAATCTCACCATTTTAGATTTATGTACTTCAGACATAAATTCTGTGGTGTGTGCTACTAATATCGACAGATATAAGTAGTATGTATCATCAATTTAAAGTGAAGATTAAGTAGATTGAAGAAAAGAGAACGAGAACAGAGAATGATTGGTGTGGAAACGAAATAACAATGAAATTGGAGACGTTTGATTGATCAACTTAAAAGTTCAGTAGGGAAAAGTAGTGTACAGAAGATAAATATCAAGATGTTTAACTGAATAGCGATAATTATTGTAAAAGTATTACGTTACTTACCGATTAAAAAAGTAAAATGCATCAGTTATTCAGTAAACAAACACTAATTTTGAAAAATATCTGTCATTTTTGGAGATTAATAGTGGTCCACATTGTTACTGTTAAATTCACATTTTGTATTTAAACAACATTATATAATATTATCAGAATGAGTTTTGTAGAGAGCTTTTAGAAATTTCATAGGTTGAAATCATGAGTCAGTTGAAGCTAGACCACCATGGAAAACCCATTCTGATAATAATCAACTGCTCACTAGTGACTGACTTCAAGAAAAACTCCTGGAGTTCTAGTGAGAAGTAATTACCAGTGGAGTTCAACCAGGTCTGTTGTGAGATAACAACTCACTGAAGACAATGGTGTACGGTGGCGCAACTTCGTGGATTGGTTGAAGTGAGACATTAACACAGTTGGATACCGGCTCAGTGGTCTAGTGGTTAAGTGCTCACGCGCGAAACTAGTAGGTCCTGGGTTCGAACCCCGTGTGGTGCGGGATCATGGATGCGCACTGCTGAGGAGTACCATACCAGGACGGAACGGCCGTCCAGTGCTTTCAGGTTTCCCGTGGTGGTCTAGCTTCAATGACTCATGATTTCAACCTATGAAATTATATATATTAATTGGTGATCTGACTCATACTGGTTTCCATTATCACTGATGTTCAGTAATTATCCTAACTATAATCAGATGAATCATAATTTTAATTCAGGTTTAACATTATTTTCAGTATGAAAAAGACAATAATTAAGTAAGAATAGGATAGAAATCATGACATTAAAGAGTGTATTTCGCAGAACTTTTCACCTATGAATAACTCAGTCTTGAACATACATATATACACACAATTCGTTCAGTCATTTATTTCCACACTGTGAACTTTCCACAGGATTTGCATTTAACTGACCCATGCTGTTTTATTTACCATGACAACATCCAATTATGATTAGATTAACACAGTGTAGATTTGATCTGATTTGTTTGTAAAACGCTTTATATTTCTTTGATAATCTAGATTTTCATTATTACCATAAAGACGTTCTGAAAGATTGCTGGACGAAAATTTGGAATTACTTAAATTTAAATCGCTGAGTTTATTTCAATGCTAGATTACTAAAAGGCTAATAGTAGATTTAAAGATAAAAACGGACTCAATTTATATTAAAAGTTGAGCTATGTCGACAAAAACAAGACATTCATTTACTTACCTACATACACACTTGATCAACTACTTACATACTTACTTTATTACGCCTGGTATTCATCGCCGTGGAGTAGCATGGGTCGCTGATCATGACACCACTACCAGTTCCATCCTATGCTCTCATTTCCAGTTGTACATAATGTAATGTTTAACTGCGATTCCCGACACAATGCGTTGTTTGGAATTCAAATTTTCACTGCACCATTCCAACTTAACGCTTATCTCGAGATGCAGTCTGAGGATTTCCGTAATGTATATCCTATCCACATCTAGCATCCTTTTCTAATTCAATCCTCAACTGCAAGGTGGCTCGTTCTCTTCCACAATACACTCTTGCTGATGGTATCCGACAAACAAATATAGAGTATTTCGAGTAGATGATTGTTTATAAATACTTGTAAATGTTTGATGACTGTTGTGGTGGTTCTCGAAGTTGCAGCTCAGTATAGTAGAACTATCTTGACGTTCGTATTGAAGAATGTGAATTTGATGTTGGCTTGCAGACAGTTTTGTTTTGAATTCTATATGTTGTTTAAGTGAACGAATGCTGTTCATGCTTTGCAATTCTTACTTTAACTTCTGCAACAGATAGAAATAATTAATACTTGATTTGAACGAAATCGACAGATGCAGATTGTTATCAAGTGAACTGATACCATTTGTGATGAGGTGAAAAAATCAACCAACATGATATGGGTGTGTTCATCCAGAATTTAAGTGACAAAATGCTGAGTTGACTCCGTGAGGGTCTCATATCAGGAGAAGTAAAAACCTAGGTCAAAATGAAGTTTACTATTCCCCATTTGTAATGCATCATTCCCAACCAATACATATGCGCCACTCAAGTCAGTTGTTTGTGTGTGGGCGGTGATACTGACCAGTTGTCCAAACCGAAGCAGAAGAGGACTTCTATTATTACCTCTCAACGTAGTCTCTGAGTATAGTCTGATACATATTAGCTATTCTGACAGAGAGATGTAGTTCGTAGCATCGTATGTTGATTGAAATCATCTAGAGAATTGTAGTTAACCTATTATCTTAATCAACGAGAGTCAATGGTGTAGTTGAAAAACACAATCCAAAGTACAACACAAAAGATCTAAGTGTATAGAACATGTAATAAGACATGACGATTTTCGTTACTTTCTACATGTATTCATATTTCAATAATGGAACTTGATATTAATTATTCTGAAAGCAAGTGTTTGTACAAACATGTATGGTATTGGTTGTCATCTGTTCTAGATAGTGTTCAACACGTTTGTGAAGCATGTTACGATGATCACAGCATTAACAAATTGTCTCTGTGAATTGACTATCAGTAGTACTTCATTTCTATCACGGAAAGTCGTGCGAATGTAATTCCTCTATTTTGTATTGTCTACAATATACAACTTTACAAATTTTAGTAGAAATGTTAACAAGGATTCATAGTAATTTGATTTGAGATTTATAGTAAAATATCTGCAACATGATGAATTCGACTTCACTTACTCATTACTCCATATGAACCGAGAAAACACATAATCATGTATTTTTCCGGTGAATAGATTCCGAATGAACTGGAAAAGCATAAAATTATTATTTGTGAATAGTTATATTGAATTGCTGTATACACATAATCATTAGATTTTAGGAAATAACCAAAATTGTGGTCTGTTTCTAAACCTTCTTCATTCAGTGACAAACTATGTGAAACTCGAACTGCATTCCTAAATATCATAAACGACCACGTTTCTAATTGTCATCAGATCTTCTTTGTATTTTCAGATGATTATCATGAATGCGTTTTCACTAAACTAAAATAGTTCTCAGCATTCAAATCTCGAATGCTGTTCTACATTGATTTGCGAAGTGGCTGTATTTCTATTCGCGATTACTTATTTATCGTGTTTGAAAATCTCATTCATTTGACATTTCGTAGGAACGAAAATCGCTCTACACATTGCCATATCTCTTAAAAATATCTTAGTGTACTTCTTATGTGAATTTCAAAGATCCATGCTGTAATACTCGCTGAAAGTGATAGGGGATTTTCGCGAACTAAGCACCCTGAACATTCTAGCACCCAACCTGGTGAATTTCTCAATTCGTTTGTTCAGTTTGATTTAAATAGTTTACAAGTAGTGAGGGTATCACTAAAATGACTATCTAGGTTATTCAGTCAATGTATCAAACTATAGAATACCTAAACTGTCTGAATAATATTCCAAGCGAATCCAGTTGTACCACTTTACATAGATGTCTAATAAACGTGTGTACACACATAGATAAATTTCAAAATATTTCATGCTCACCTTACAAATGGAACAAATGGCTGTACATGGTCATAGGAAATCGCAACAACATATCTAACAAGAGAAGAAGTTTTATGAAAATATTCAAATATCCGTAGATGAGATACGTCTATTTCATTAGACAAACTAATTTCCTCAATTTACATCAAAATAACTGGCAGTTTAACACCACTACTGAAAACATCATCACTAATCCATACACAGTTCGATCAGCCTTCTCACTTTTAGACGTTTACCACAAACCGTTCACAGAATAATAACTAGTATTTCTGTATCTAACAGAGATAAATGTCTTACTTGACATTGTTTCCATTCATACAGTTACTTTTGTT